TGTGTGTGTGTGTGTGTGTGTGTGTGGCCAGCTCAGTCCACCAGGGGACGGGGCTGGCTGGCATGTGGTGCTGGGGGATTGAACCGAGGTCCCTTTGCTTTACTAAGCTCGTTCTAAGTAGGTGCTTTAGACCACTGAGCCATCTCACCAGCCCTGGTCTCAAACTTTGAATGATCTTTCCTGCCTCAGCCTCCTGAGTGCTGGAATTATCAATGGCTTTTTAAACCTTTGAGGATGAGTAAATATTAAGAATCCATGTTGGGCCCAAGGAGATAGCTCAGAAGAATAAGCACTTGCCTGGCAAACACAGAGTCCTGAGTTCAATCCCTGGTACCACCAAAAAAAAAAAAAAAAAGAATCCATGTTAAAGACTAAACCCAAGAACTTGGAGACAATGTTCCCCAAAGTCTAAGATGCTGAGTTGGTTTGGAAATACCTTGAATATTCCTTTCCTAAATCTTACTGCTGATCTTGATTTTCTGTTTCAGGCAAAGAAAAAAGATCCCCTTGGTTCCAGAAAATCTCCTGAAAAAGAGGAAGGCATATCAAGCCCTCAAAGCCACCCAGGCAAAGCAGGCACTTTTGGCAAAGAAAGAGGTAATGCTGGCAAACCTGGAAGAGGGTGGGTGTTAGCATTCATTTTGTGTGAATTTTATCCAGCAAGTTGTTTATACGTTAGAAATTTTTCCCAGTAATTTTGTTTTTGTTTTTAGGGAAGAGTCTGTAGGGTGTTCAGAGTCTCACTACTAGATCAGACTTGTAGTGATCTGCCTGTTTGCAGCCTCCAAGAGCTGGGAGTACAGGCGTGTGTCACCATGCCCAGTCTCAATTGCCTCTCAGTACGCCCCCCTGGGACTGGCATGGCAGGCCCGGGGATCGAACCCCCAGCCCCTGCGCCTGCTTGCAGGCACTTTAATCTGCTAAACTATTTGGACCTTTTCCCAGTAATTTTTAAGCTTTCTTATTTTATATTTATTTATTTTAGGAGACAGAGGCTCACTTTACTGACCATGAACTCACTGTGTAGCCTAGGCTGGCCACAGATTGTGGCACTCCTGCCTCAGCTTTTAAAAAAAGAGTTTTTTAAAATCTTTTATTGATTTATTTATTTGGTACAGGGTCTCACTATACAGTTCAGACTCATAGTGATCTTCCTGTCTCAGCCTCCCTAGCGCTGGGACTACAGGTGTGTGCCACCACACCTGTTTTCAGTGGCCAGCATGGCATGCCCAGGGTTCCAGGACTGGCACAGCATGTGGTACCAGGGATCAAACTCAGGACCTTGTGCTTGCCAGGCAGGCTCTTAGGCCACCAAGCTACCTCCACAGCCCCTCAGCTTTTAAACTGATTATGTTACAGGCGTGTTTCACCATACCTAGCCCAAGTTTTCCCAGTTTTTCCCTGGTTTCTCATTCTTCCCTTATATGACAGGGTATGTTTGTTTGTACCCCTTTGCAGGACGTAGAAATGTGCTCGTTTTGTTTTGTTTTAAACAGGAGTCAAGCTCAGGTCCGTGCACTTGTCAGGCAGGTGCTTGTGCCACTGAGCTATATCCTTGGCTCAGCTCTGTCCTTAGTAACTCAGGAATTACTATTGTGGAAGTAAATTGAGTATAAGCAGAGGGCCATGGTGGTGCATGCCCGTAATGGCAGCAACTTAGTGAGACCGTGGCTTAGTAGGGCTGTAGTTCAATGCAGAGGCCCTGGGTTTAATCTCTGGTACTGGAAAAGAAAAAGGATTAGTGCAGACACAAAGTAGTAATAATGACCTATTTTCTCTACAAAAGAGGAAGGTAAAGGAGATCAGATTTAAGCGACTGGAATCCTTCCTTCATGATTCCTGGCGGCAGCGGCGTGACGGGGTGCGTGTGAAACGACTCGAAGTGAAACCTCGCGCTTTGGAAGCACCTGATGAACATTCCTTGGCCTTCGTTGTCCGCCTCCAAAGGTAGAGTACTGGGATCTTTTCACATTCCCTGCAACTGGGTGAACTGCTGATTCAGCTTTAAAGCTTGCTTTTTTTGTGTTAGTACCAGGAATTGAACTCAAGGCCTTGCACTTACCAGCCAGGCACTGTGCCACTGACCTACATCCCCAGTACCCCCCCCCTTTTCCAGAAAGGCTTTTAAGCAAATATCTTTGGTTTTTGTCTTTGTTTTGGTATCAGAATGGAACTCTGGACCTTATGCTTGCCGTGCAGGCACTGTGCCACTGAGCTGTATCCCAGCCCTAAGCAAAGTCTTGAAGTAAAAAAATCAGGGCTTTTTTCTAGGAACTAAAACAGGGCAGAATGAATGGGGGAACATATTCAGTGCTAAGAAGAAATTTCCACGTTTAGTGGTACTTTGCTGACTTCTCCCTGCTCTTATATGTAACTGACTCTTGCTGTAAAACTTGTGAGTTTTATTTTTTTATTTTTTGTGCGGAACTGGGGATTGAACTCAGGCCCTTGAGCTTTCCAGGCAAGCACTTATTCTACTGAGCTATCTCCCTGGCTCTGTGAATTTTAAATACTTAGGAGTTCTGTCCTCATTAACCCCAAACCACTATCCATAATCTCTTTCCTTGAGTATTGTACTATGTTAGTTTTCTAACTAGATTTTCCTGAGTCTGGTTCACAGTCTCAGATCTTTCCTGTAACCTGCGTTCAATGGTTATCAGGAAAAAAAAAAAAAAAAACACCAACAATAACAAAAAACCAGGGCTGGTGAGATGGCTCAGTGGTCTAAAGCACCTACTTAGCACAAGCTTAGCAAAGGCCAGGGACCGCGGTTCAATCCCCCAGCACCACATGCCAGCCCGCCCCGCCCCCTGGTGGGCTGAGCTGGCCACACACACACACACACACTCTAATTAATTAATTAACTAATTAAACATGGGGGCCAAGGAGATGGCTCAGTGGAATAAGCGTTTCCCTGGCAAGCGCAAGTGCCTAAGTTCAATCCCCAGTTCTGCCAAAAAAAAAAAAAAAAAGTGTTTCTTTGCTTAAAATCTTCAGTAACTTTCACCGCCTATGCAAACAAGTCAAGCTTCTTTAGTTAGACCAGTATCACTCTCATCACTACCCACAAGTTCAGGGACTTTCTGTTCCCTTTGTACCCTGGGCACTGCTTCACATCAGGGAAAGATGGTACATTTACAAACTGTTGCCCATCAAAGAGGGCTGTGTCTTTCCCTGTGCACCTAGTGGAGTGGTACACATTTCTGGGTGCTTGCTGGACTGCCGTAAACCGGAGAGAGCCTCACTTCTCTTCCTGTGTGTTTCAGTATTAACGGGGTGAGTTCATTAGTACAGAAGACCATTGCAAGACTTCGCCTGAAGAAGCTGTTCAGTGGTGTCTTTGTTAAAGTCACCCCCCAAACTCTCAAAATGCTGCGAATAGTGGAGCCTTATGTGACCTGGGGGTGAGTGTTTCCTTGTGCGTTCATGGTGCCCAGCTGTTCTCCCAGGCTTGTGTGCTCTGCTGGACCTGGAGCGGCAGGGGGAGGATTAGTGACTGGACTGAGCAGTGTCGTGGCAGGGATTGTTCAGTTGACAGCCTGGGGTGTTGGCGTGCAGTGCTTATATAAGAGTGCTTAGTATTCCTCAAGCATCAAAGCCCTGCAGAGGCCTGGGTTTAAGACACAGCTTTTGTATCCTCTTGAGTAAATTAGAGGCCAAAATGCAGTTTTTTAATATTATGCTGCCAAAGTGAACACAAGGTAGACTTTTTGTTGTATCTGGGAAATAAACTGTTTGACCTGGTGAGCGTCCATCCATATGTGAGATGTCTAGTTACATTGCAGGGCCACTCTAGTTTTAATCCCCTCCTGCGCGTGTGTATCCCCAGCTGGAAAGGGAGCACAGAACACTGAGGTGGGAGCTGGGGAGGAGAACTCTCCTGCCTTTTCTCAGCCCAGCCACAATGTGCCAGGCTCCAGCTGAAGCTGCGCTGTTTCTGCCTCACAGATTTCCAAATCTGAAGTCTGTCCGGGAACTGATTTTGAAACGTGGACAGGGCAAGATTAAGAATAAGACCTTCCCGCTGACGGACAACACTGTGATCGAGGAGCACCTGGGTGAGTGCCACACCGAAGGGCCGCCTGGGCCAGAAAGCGAGGGTCTTCGGTAGTGCTGGCTTGGGAACTAAGGTGTGTTCTTGTTGGGTCCCCAGGAGCTTTTCAGTATGCACATGCTGCAAAGATGGATAGTAAAGGAATCTGCTTTTATTGCGTTTTTAGGCAAGTTTGGTGTCATTTGCCTGGAAGACCTCATCCATGAAATCGCCTTCCCAGGGGCGCATTTCCAGGAGATTGCCTGCTTCTTGCGCCCTTTCCACCTCTCTGTGGCCCGGCACGCTACCAAGAACAGAGTGGGCTTCCTCAAGGAGATGGGCTCACCTGGCTATCGGGGTGAGCGCATCAACCAGCTCATCCGCCAGTTGAACTAGTTCCAGGTGAGCCAGGGCCGAGCACCTTCCTTGGCCCAACCTTGACGGGCCATGCTTTGTCCTCTAAAAGTTCTTTTTGTAGGCAGAGGTATAGTGCGTGGTACAGCACTTGCCTAGCACATTTGAAAAGACCTTGGGTTTGGTCTACCAGCAAGGTAGGAACGTTCTTACTACTACATAAGAGTAAATGGGGGCTGGTGAGATGGCTCAGTGGTCTAAAGCACCTACTTAGAACAAGCTAAGCGCACAGGGACCGTGGTTCAATCCCCAGCACCACATGCCAGCCAGCCCCGCCCCCTGGTGGGCTGAGCTGGCCACACACACAAAAAAAATAAATAAATAAATAAAAGTAAATGGGAGGTTGGGAGGCAGGAGGTAATGTGCTTACCAGCTTGATGGCTACAAAGGAGAGCTCTGTATTCTGTAAATAGATGCAGGCGCAGTGGGGGTGGTGCAGTGGTAGCACACTCACCTAATGTGCCCAGGGCAGGTTCAATGCCCAGCACGTTACAGGGTAGGAAAACTTGCAGTGGCCATTTAGCTGGAAATAGGAACGGAAGAATAGAAATTAAAAGAATGTTAAGGGGGCCGGGGAGATGGCTCAGTAGGATAAGTGCTTGACTGGAAAACGCAAGGATCTGAGTTCAATCCCTGGTTCCGCCAAAAAAAAGAATGTTAAGACCTAAGTCATTTGTGTATTTTGTTGAGGCACTCAACTTTGTTTTTTTGTTTTGTTTTGTTTTTAATTTTATTTATTTATTTATTTATTTTTTGTGTGTGGCCAGCTCAGCCCACCAGGGGGCGGGGATGGCTGGCATGTGGTGCTGGGGGATTGAACCGAGGTCCTTGTGCTTTGCTTGGCTTAGTTTGTTCTAAGTAGGTGCTTCAGACCACTGAGCCATCTCACCAGCCCTGAGGAACTCAACTTTGAAATTGTTTTTTATTGCTGCTATTCCTTGTGGGTGTGTTAAGTTCATATTGACAGTTTTGGGGTTTGTTTGGGTTTTTTTTCTTCCTCAGAATAACAAAACAGTGTCTTGAAGCATGTTTTTGTTTTTTGAACTGGTACCAAGTGTCTTCAGAGAAGATGATTTTTCTGCTTTCAGAGACTGGAAGGAAGCATAAGGGAATCGGCATGGCAGGCACCTCTCAGCACCGCCCAGTTTCAAGGAAGAGTTCCGTTGTTCCCCATCATGCCACGGCTGAAATCAGCACTTGCTGTGGAGGAAGAGGTCCTGTTTTGCTGCATCTTCTGTCCTGGGGCTCACTGTGGGTGAATGACTCGGAGCTGTGGACCCAGCCCAGAGGCGTACTTGAGTCTGGAGCCTCAGAGCTCTTTTGAAAAGACTGAAAATACAGTCACAACTGTCTGGAAAACAAGTGTTCAGCTGTGTCTGTCAGGAGGCCAGGTTCCAGCTTTCAGTGATACGGCTTTGTGAGGTCTCAGACTTGCGTGGCCCAGGTGGCTTTTGTACCTTAGCTTGGAACTGACTCAGTTTCTTTTCTCTACCTCAGAATTTGGGAAGGGAGCCAGGCATAATGGCACACGCCTGTAATCTGGACACTGGAGAGTCTGAGGCAGAAAGATCACTGAGTTTGAGGCCAGCCTGGGCTATAAAGTGAGTTCAAGGCCTGTGTGTACTGCATAGTGAAACCCTGTTTCAAAATGACATAAATAAGAATTTGGGAAAGGAAGAACCTCCTTCCTAGAAGCAAGGCATTCACTCAAGTTTGTTGGAAATTTCAGGGTGTTCCTGGAGTCCTCTTTAGGACCTGTGCATCTTGTATTAAAAAAAACAACAACAACACTATCAAGACCAGGTGTGGTGGCGCACAACTGTAATCCAGCACTGGGGAGGCTAAAACAGGATCACTGGGAATCACAGCATAGTGAGACCCTCGAGCAAATACATAAAATTTTAAAACAAGCCCTGTTGTTGGTTTTGGTCACCCAGGCCCTGAGCTGAGCTAGCTAGCTAATTGGATCGTGTCCTGTGTGAGAGCACCAAGCCAGTTGAGTGTTTCCACTTAACGTAGTTAAGCAGTGTTGTCTCCTGCACCTCTGCAACTCTGAGGAATCCTCACCAGTTTTTTCTTGGGCTTCAGGATGTAATTTCCAGGTTTCTTTGATGATTAACTATCTCCTTAAAACCCAGGACAGCAGAAGCCTATTTTCTTGGTTTGACATGGATAGCGTTAGCTTTTAGGCTGTGGCTAGGAAGCTGCTTAGTTGGATTTTTTACTTGCATATTCTAGCCTCAAAGTATTGGCCTGGTAATGATGGAACAGACCAGCAGTAAGTTCTGGGAATATGAATCTGAGAAGTCCTTGCTGTCACTGTTGCTGCTGGATTTTTTACATGATCTTTGAAGACATTGTAGAGCCACTTTTTATCAAGCCTTCCTTTCTCTGCCTGTCTGGAAAATAGCTGCCCAAAGTAAAAATGTCGCCTGGATCCTGGACATCTAGCAGCACTAGGGTTTGGTGCTCCGTTGTTCTCCCCTGTGTCTTCTGCTCCCTCACTTGCTGCAGCTCACAGTCTTGAGCAGTTGGTGAGGAGGAGCCAAACAGCCCAGCTGTACTGAAAACTTGTTCCCCCATTGTGCCCCCTGGTCCTTTCTAATCGGCCTCACTGTGGTGTGGGCTCACCTGTCAGCTATGAAACTGAGATGGAGGTTAACAGTGCCTTACAGCCTGCCAGGTTGTGAGGTCATTAGATGTGTTGGTTCCATACTTCACCTGCCAGGAATAGCTGTTACAGGTTTTGCCTTTATTAAGAAGTCCTAGGGGCCAGGGAGATAGCTCAGTGGAATAAGCACTTGCCTGCCAAGTGCAAGGGCCTGAGTTCTGCCAAATTTTTTTTTTTTTTTTTTTTTTTTTTTCAGAACCGGGGATTGAACTCGGGCCCTTGCACTTGCCAGAGAAGTGCTTATTCCACTGAGCCATCTCCCCGGCCCCCTCAAGGGCCTGAGTTCAATCCCTGGTTCTGCAAAAATAAATAAAATTTAAAAAAGAAGTCCTATTGCTTTAAAATGGTGCATCTGCCAGGCTGTAATCCCAGCACTTGGAAAGTGGAGACTGGAGGGTTGCTGTGAGTTCAAGGCCACCCTGAGCTACATAACAAGACTTTAAAAAAAAAAAATTTGGGCCGGGGAGATGGCTCAGTAGAATAAGCGCTTCCTTAGCAAGTGTAAGGGCCTGAGTTCAATCCCCAGCTCTAAAAAGAAAAAAATATATATATATGGTTAAAGCCATCTAGGTATGAGAGTCTGGGGTTTGTCTTACTAAATAAGGGCCTAGATTTGTCTTACTAAATAAGAGGGCCAAGGCTGTTGCTCTGTGTGAAGCATTTAAGGCCCTGGGTTTCACCCCCAGCACCACAAGAGAACTCTTGCGTTGTGGCCCAGGCCTGTAATCCCAACTGAGGCTGAGGCAGGATTGCTTGAGTTGAAGGCCAGAGTACTCTACATAGTAAGACCCTGTCTTTGGAAAAATAAAACAGTAGCTTTCAGTTTGATTACACCTGTAATCCCAGCACTTGGGATGAGGCAGGAAGATCCTTAAAAATTCAAGACTAGCCTGTACTGCACAGTAAAATCCTGCTTCAAAAAGACAAAAAAAGGGCTGGAGAGATGGCTCAGTGGTCTAAAGCACCTACTTGAAACAAGCTTGGCAAAGCACAGGGACCGCGGTTCGATCCTCCAGCACCACATGCCAGCCAGCCTCGCCCCCTGGTGGGCTGAGCTGGCCACACACACACACAATAAATGTAATAAATAAAAATAAATATTTAAAAAAAAAAGGCAAAAAAAAAATTTTCAATTCCAAATTCTATATAAATGTAAGAGACTAACAGAAACTTTCCTTGTAGAGGCCCAGTGATCAGACTAGACTATGCTAATGTGGGCTTTACAAGGCAGCTCATAGCTCCTCTGTTCTAGGTTTTGTCAGGAAAGCAGTTCGGGTGCAGCGAGCTCCGAGGTTTGGCCTTCGGTGGTGGCGCCGGGAGCTTTGCCTCTGCTATGAGCCCAGCCCTTCACCTGTTTCTCACACCCAAGTTGTCTTGTTGAGATGTTTTAGTCTAGTTCAGGATAGCTTTGAACTCACTATGTAGCCTTGGCTGGTCTTGAATTCAAAACGGTTCTTACACCTCAGCCTTCCATGAGCTGAGCCAGAATGACAGATGTGTGCCACCATGCCCAGCTCAGACCCGTTTTCTAAAGGCTTGTTGTTGGTCGCTCTGCCAGGTAATTTATTTGATAGATCTTTGAAGTCATTCTGGGTGTAATTTTAGGTTGGTTGGTTTTGAGGAGCCAGGGATTGAACTTGGGCCCTTGCGCTTGCCAGGCAAGCGCTCATTCTACTGAGCCATCTCCCGGGCCCCTTGGTGTTAAATTTTAGTATCAAGCCTTTCATCTAGGAAATGCCACCTAAATCGCAGGTTCCTTTGTCACCAGCACTGAACGAGCTGGCCTAGGTGCCCAGGTTGGCTGCCTCATATTCCCCCGTTACTAACCCAAGTGGGTCAGGCCTTACAGTGGGGCCCCAGTTGCTTTTCTTTGTCAGCAGGAATAAACCCAGGGTCTCCACGTGCCAGACAAGGGCTCTGCCAACGAACTGCACCCCAGCTTCCCCCGTGTAGTATTCTGACAAAAACAGACACAAAGCAAATAAACAGGAAGGTCGTTCCAGTAGACGCCAGTGAAGCAGGATTTTATTTTTAACTGACAATCTGGTCCCGGAATCCGAGTAGTGGGCAGCCCGGAGGAGACTTCAGTCCGGTCAGGACAAACGCAAAGAACACGGAGTGGCCAGTTTCCAGGGTCCTAAGTCCGTGCGGGGCCCTGTAGCTCCAGACCCAAGACGCCGAGGAACTAAGGCTTCAGGAGCCTGAGGGCGGTGGGGCGGCGGCCTCCCAGGGCTTCGGCCTTCGCGGGAGCTGGGATGCCGTGGGGTCGCTGTAGGTGGCCGTGATATGGCGTTTCTCTATGCCTGGGAGCTCCTGGCCCCGCTGCACCAGTTGCAGGAGCTGCGCCAGGGTCACCGACGCCGGAGGAGATGCTGCAGGCTGGAGGGATCCTAGGGCCGGCACGGGACTGCCGGGCTGATCCATGTCTGTATCCGACTTCCCCAGAGCACCTCCTTATGTACTTCCGCAGCCGTGGAGCCTGCCGGGAACTCGGGGAGCAAGCACTTCCGGGGTGTGGAGCCTCTCGGGAATGCTGGGAGCGCACCCTTTCCAGAACGAGTGTGACGCCACAGTCTCGGGAGACCGAGTCGTTTCGGACCACCTACGCTGGGGAGCGCGCGAGGACGCCTTTCACCCTCACAGCTAGGCTTCAGACAGGATGATTTAGCGCGCCCAGTGAGTAGTCCCACCACTTGGGACGGCTGAAGCCGAAAGATTGTGAAGTCGAGCCCAGTCTTAGACTTAGCGGGACACTAGCTCAAAATTAAAAGGCCTGGGTTCAATTCCCTTTACTGGGAAGAAAGAAAGAAAAAAAAAAAAAAAAAAAAAAGTGTAATGAGTGACCCAATGTGAGGTTCACCCATAAAGCATGGAGAACTTTCTTGACCCACGGAGCAGATAACAACCTCATGATAGCAATGTCAGTTTCTCATCATGCTGTGGTTTTCTAGAGAATGCTCTTGTTCGTAGGCGATATATGCACAAGTGATTAGGGGTGAAGTCCTAATGAAAGCAGAGTTGCTGAACTGCTAAGGACAAGCGACTGAATGGAGGAGATTGTGGACTTCAAGATAGAAGGTTGGACTGGAGCGCAGTGAGAGCTTCAACAGTCAGCTGGTGGGAGGCTGGCCACATTGTAGAGTGAGCAATTGGTCTGAGAGGCTAAATCCTAAGAATTCCTGGTCTGCTAGGAGTGAGGTGGTGACTCAGGGAGGACCCACACTAGCTGCAGGATGGGGAGCAGTCATGCTGCACACAGACCATGTGGTGAGATGTTCAAGGCCAAGAGGGAAAGCAGAGAACTGCTGTGTAGCAGTGAGTTAAACAATTGTGCATGTTCTAAAACCTGCACAGCTCTGGGCATAGTGCAGTGCAGTTTCCTAGCTGGTGAACATAACCCAGTGCCGAGGACAGGACATTCAGGGCTCTCCCAGCACTCACTCCCTAGATATTTGGTTGAATGCTGATCTGTGGCCTCTATAATAAAACTTCAGGGGCTGGGGAGACAGCTCAGTAGAATAAGTGCTTGCCTGGCAAGTGTAAGGTCCTGAGTTCAATCCCCAGTACCGCCAAAAAGAAACTAAAACTACACCCCAACCATAGTGGCACACACCCGTAATCCCAGCAATCCAGGAGGCTGAGGCAGGGGGATTGAAGGATGGAACCAAGTGCCTTAGTTACTTTTTCTTGTTGCCGAAACAAAATGCCCAATACCTAAAGTTAAAGGAGGAGTCATGTACCTCGGTAGTGTCCCAAATTTTCTGATCAAGAAGATTATGGGACCAAAGAGGAAAGTGATGATGATGTAGAGTGTGCCTAAGGAGAGTCACACGGAGAGAAAACACTCAGGCTTTCACAGAGAGCACATTGGCCAAGCAATGGCCGTGACTCATCCACATGGCTGACACTGACAAAGGTTCTACAATCTGAGGTACAGGATCTCAGGATAAATCCTGAGGGAATTTCACTGACCTTCTCAGACCCAAAAGCTACAACTCTTGTTGCATAGGTCCTGCTTTACCTTGGTCTTAACCATCCAGCAGAAAAGTATGAAGACGAAATATAGGAAGTAAAGCCATGCTGTTATGTTGAGCTGTGGGGGACTCAGGTCAATAATTTCTGACATTGACAGTTAAACAGAAGTCCCAATGCTATTATGGGCTACTGGACTCTTTTAGAATATTTTGCTGAGTTTATACACCTATAATATTCAAATAACGGAACTTAGAAAAAAAGGGGTATACAGATGAATGTCCATTTTGTATCTGTATTTAAAGTGGTTAGGATAGATATATAGTTACATTGTCTTAATGAATAGAATGATTTGTTCTAATGGTGTTTTTTTGTTTGTTTTTTTTTTGTTTTTTTTTTTTCGGAACCGGGGATTGAACTCAGGTCCTTGCACTTGCCAGGGAAGTGCATATTCCACTGAGCCATCTCCCCAGCCCCTGTTCTAATGGTGTTTGTAAATAAGATCTCAGGTCCGCATCTTGCATAGCAGTTAACCACTAAGAAGAATATATGCAGTGTGTTGGTTATTGAAACTGTCCTACCGATTTGATTTGAAACTGTCTCATTGCTATTTGTTTATCAATAAAATTATGAAAAAAAAATAAATAAAGTTAAAGGAGGAAAGATTTATTTTTAGCTCACAGTTTGCAGAGGTTTCAATTCACAGTTGACTCCAAGGCAGGGTGGAATGGCAGAGGGCCATCATAGAGGAGAGAGAGTTCGTGGTAGGCAGAAGGCAGTAAAACAGGTATCAAGCAGCAAGCGTAGCAGCCCACTTTCCCTTGTGTTCCATTACAGGGAACTCCAGCCCCTTAGAGTGGCATCCTTATACCCAGGCAGGGCATCCTTAATCCTACCTAGGACTATGCCAAACCAATCGGTGGACTAAGTAAGCACACCCTTGATCCCAGCGTCACATTCTCTAGGTCCAGCCACTTTGGAAGAGCCCCACCCATGAAGGTTTAGGGGAGACAGACACAAACCATAACATTCCGCCCCTGCCCCTCCCAAGACTCATGTGCATCCCTCTATGCAAAAGGCATTTAATCTGTCTCCAAGAGTTGTCAAATTCCTATCAGTTTCAACATTTCTGAGAAGTCTTAAGCCCAAAGTTTCCTCTGAGATTTAAGCAAACTCAGCTGCCAGCCCCTGTACAAATGAAAGGAAAGTTAAGCTCTTCCAATACACAGTTGTGCTGGGTGTGGTGGCGCACATCTGTAGTCCCAGCACTCTGGGAGGCTGAGGTGGGAGGATTGCCTAGTTAAAGGCCAGCCAGGTAAATTCAAGGACAGTCTGGACTATTAATCAAGGCCCAGTCTCAAAAAAATTCCTATTCCGGCCAGTGCAGATATATAGGTCAGCTGACCAGGAGCCTGCTTAGGCAAGCACAGAGACCGGGGTTCCATCCCTGACGCCACGTGACACGCTGGCCCCACCCCTGGGCACGCTGGCTGTGCTGACCGCTGAGGCTGGGCATGGTGGCGCGCACCTGTCTTCCCAGCATTTGGGAGGCTGTAAACAGGCAGATCACTATGAGTTCAAGCTGCGTAGTGAGACCCTGAACACCCCATAGACCCTTCTCTAAAAAATAAAAAATAAAAATTAGTAATGCATGAAAAGGAGGCTGGAAGTTCAGTGCTTCAGGGTGGGCAGAAAGACTGGCTGAAAAAAAAAGAAAAAAAAGGCTCTCTGGATCACCACTATTTTTATTAGCCAATGCATGGGGAGGGGTAGTGACTGCCTCCAGGAACAGTAATGGCAATGACAGGGGACTAGTGAAAGAACAACAATGCATTCATGCCAGGAGGGGCCAAGAGCCAGTAAGGCAACTGTACTTTCCCCAGGTGAAGCTTTTACTCCTGCTACTACTTTTACTCCTGATCCTGGTCGTCTTCAGCAGGCTATATCTTGCCCTGTGAGCACCTCAACATCACTAGCAGTAGGGCCTCAGATGTGACCCAGAGAAAGAGTTTCCACCTTCCAGTTCAGTTGACAGGACAGGACAAGGACAACCTCAGACATCTTCCAGACTCACTTCATAATCTGTGGTCCCTAACACGCAGGCTTGGTGTTAGGCTGGGCAGTGCACCCCTGAGAGGGCAGTGTGTGAAGCTGTGAGTGTGAAGCCGAAGGTGCGGTGGAGACCCGTGAGGTTTGGAGGCACCGAGAACATGGGTCATTTGAGGAAAACTACAAGGAAGGAGCACAGCTAGTGCATGAGAGAATCTGCAGGACACAGCTGCAGGAAGTACTGCAGAGGTGGAGCCACCCTAGCCCTTTGAAAAAAATTTGTTTTGGTACCAGGAATTAAACTCAGGACCTCGTGTTTGCTGTTCAGGTACTGTGTCACTGAGCCATATTGCTGGCCAGTCCTTTGAAATTTACCTCTTGGGCTGGGGAGATAGCTCAGTGGAGTAAGAGCTTGCCTGGCAAGTGTAAGGTCCTGAGTTGATCCCTGGTACCACAAAAAGGAGAGGAGGAGGAGGAAGATCACATCTGCCATAGATTTTCTTGGATGATGGACATGGAACTACAAGATATAATGTAGTCTCAGCACACCTCAGGGGCAGGGCCAGCAGGGCAGGCCCAGGGATAGAACCCCCAGCCGCTGTGCCTGCTTGCAGGCACTCTAATCCGCTGAGCTATTTGGCTAGCCCTCAAAAGACTCTTCATAGATTGGAAGGATTCAGGCTGACCGCAGCTGCACACAGCTCTTGGTGTAGCATGCCCGGGTGTGCCCCAGACCAAGGGCTGGCACACAGTCCCAGATCCCTGGCCTCCAGGGCTCCTAGCCTCCCAGGGAAGTCACAGAAGTAAGTTATATGATGATTGTGATTTATTGCAGAAATAATAGTGTGGGGGAAAAAAAAGAAATAATAGTGTGGAACCTGGAGTGTTAAGTTTTGGGTGCACAAAAAAATCCACATATTCACTGATTTTTCTTTTTCTTTTCTATTTCATTTTTGAGGTGCTGGGAAGAGAACCTAGGACATTCATACTGAACTATATCCTCACTCCTTTTTTCAAATTTTGAGACAGTCTTGCTAAATCACAAAGTTGCCTAGGCTGGACTGGAGCTTGCCATCCTGAGTAGCTGGGCCATGGTGAATTAGATCCCAGAGGAACAGCACAAACCCCCACCCATGGGGGTTGGGGAGCTTCCAAGGCTGCCCTGGCAGTGCCACAGAGTTGGGAGAGCGAAGCTGGGAGGGTGGAACGTGAGGTTCACTGAGACCAAATGCCTGCCACAGCCCTCATCCAAGACCTGGGGCTTAATGTGCCGGCTCAGCCAGCCAGTAAGGGTGCAGAGAGCCTCCGGGCTGGTTAATTAAAGCCAGGCTTAATAGTCCCCTGCAGGTAATAAGCCTGAGGTGCCAAGACTCCCTGGCATGTGAGAGAATGGGGGTCTAGGAGCTGACGGGTGCTGGACTGGCTTTATTCTTAGCAGCCTTCTTAGCCTCCCAGCTGCATAGCTTAAAAGGCTCCAAAGCTCTCCCTTTGCTAAGCCGTTAAATCCTTGGTGACAGCCACCAGCATCATTGCCTTGCTTTAGCAACTGCAGTCACTGGATGAAGGGATGGGACTGGGTTCCCTGATTCCAGGGACAACTGTGGTATCGGGGTCCCTGGGGGTGCAGGGCCTGACCATGGTGGCCAACATCAAGGACAAAGTGGGGTGCAGCTCAGTGTATAAACACATGACAGGGCCTTGCATTCTGTCTCCAGCACTGGAAAAAATAATAAAAGGCACAAGGACACTGGTCCACAGTGAGTCATAAGGAAAAATTATCATTAGGGCCAAGATGCAGTCCTCTCTTTCCAGGTGCACTTGGAGACCTGTGTGTGAGTGGCTGTGGTGTAGGGACAGAAGCTGAGGTTGATCTGGTGTCCCAGTCACTGTTCCCATGGTGACCGCCACCTGGAGGGACACAGTTTTGCTATACAGCTTAAGATGACTTGGCTATCTCCTCCCAGGGCACCACCACCCCTTTGCTCACAGAATTCCACCCCATCCCTGTGAAGTGGACATTGGTAACCTCTGTCGGGGGCACACCTGCTCCAGCCAAGGACACGTGCAGATGGCAATTTCTGCCCCACATCCTGAAAGCAGCCAGCTGGCTGTGGCCTGGGCTCCTTAGGATGCATGTGGAAAGCCACACCCTGGGGCTGGGGAGATGGCTCAGTAGAATAAGCGCCTCCCTGGCAAGCGCAAGGGCCTGAGTTCAATCCCAGTTCTGCCAAAAAAAGAGAAGAAAAACAAAAAAGAAAAGAAAACTATACCCTAGAAGGTCAAGTGCTACCTAATAGGATGCAAAATATTTAAAATTAATTTTTTTTTTTTTTTTTGTTTCTTGCAACAAGGTTCTCATGATGAAGTTCAGGCTGGCCTTGAACTTACTATGTAGCCCAAGCCAGCCCTGAGTTTGCGTTGATCCTCTCGCCTCAGGCAGAATGCTGGGATTACAGGCACCCAGCAATGTGTAATACTTAAAACTCATAACCAAAATGGCTGGGCCTGTTGGTGCACACTTGTGACCTCAGCACTGGGGAGGCTGAGGTGAGAGGATCACTGTGAGTTCAAAGCCAGCCTGAGCTACATAGTTCAAGACCAGCCTGTGGGGCTGGGGAGATGGCTCAGTGGAATAAGCGCTTCCCTGGCAAGTGCATATTTGCCTGAGTTCAATCCCCCGTTCCACGCCCCCCCCCCAAAAAAAGACCAGCCTGTCTCAATCAACCAACCAAATAAACAATCAAACCATCAAACAAAATATCATAACCGAAATCCCTCCAAATCCAACTTCCTCACCCCCACCGGATCCTGGGAGGCTGAGCTACGTCCAGGGACTTCCATTCTGCCCTCCATGTATGGGTCACCAGCATGCTTGTGTTGTGAAGGCCACAGCTTCTTGTGGCTCTGGTTCCCAGAGTGGCTTCCTCATGAGCCTGTGATGGAGCCTTTCTTTGTACCCTACCCACATCTTTATAAACAGCTCTTTCTCCAATTCCCTTCAAATTGCCCATCTGTTTCCCTGCGAGGACCCAGAACATGCAGTACATGTTTTAGTTAGGATCCGATTTAGCAGCAAGCAACAGAAAACCCAGAATAACAGCAGCTTACATAAGATCACGTTGGTGTCTTTCTCGTGCCCGGGGAATAGGGTGCAGCTGCAGGGACATCAGATCTGACTGCAGATCCATGGAGCCGAGGCACTGTCCTGAGAACCGAGCAGTCAGCGACACCCAGGAGCCACGTCCACAGGGCCCTCCAGCCCTGCCTGCCGCACGTCTGGCGGCACCGCTCCCCCGCTCCCCCGGCCGCTGTTCCCAGCCGTGGCTGCCAGGCTGCTCCGACAGGATCTGCACCGGTGAGAGCTTCCTTGCAGTCAGCTCGGGCAGAGCCTCCAGAAGCTCCGTAGCTGCCCCCGCAGGAGCCTCGCAGACTCACGCTCTCACACGAAGTCGTGAACAGCAGCTCTTGCACCTCTAAGCCCCCAGAGTGGCAGGAAATTCCACCCTGGGGTTGGTCCAGCTTCTCCTTCCAACAGAAGGCTCTCTGCCCGGGCCGTGGGCATCATGGTGCTGATACAGGGGCAGGCTTCTGTGCCCCGTCTTTGGAACTTTTAGGAGGCTCCCTGTATCTGATTTAAGCCCTTCTTCAACTCTCATGAGTCTCCTTGCTTTAAATTAAAAAGTTGTGTTTGTTCGTTTTTGTTTTTGACACAGGGTCTTGCTGTGTAGCTCAGGCTGGCCTTGAACTCACTATTAGCACAGGCTGGTCTTGAACTCAGAGCGACTCTCCTGCCTCGGCTTTCCAAGTGCCAGGATGACAGGTGTGCACCACTGCAGCTAGCTTCACTCGTATTTACTAATTTATTTTCACACTGGGGATTGAGCCCAGGGCTTTTATACCAAGGTACATATATCCTCTGCCATTTCTGAAGAATTATTTTGTTTGTTTGTTTTTAATTTTGAGACAGGGTCTCACTAAATTGCTAAATTCCTCAGGCTAGGCTTGAATACATGATCTGCCTGTCTCAGTCTCGAGTGCTAGAATTATAGGTATGCACCACCACCTATGGCTCAGTTCATTACAACTTCATGGAACCTCTGTGTCCTGGGCTTCACCCTCGGCGCCAGGAGCTGGGATCTCTATTTGATAAATGCTGGGCGCCTGCTTCTGATGCCTCAGTGTGCATGCGCTAACCAGTGCCGTCCCCAGATTATGTGGTGACAGCAGCCATCCTCTCTACTGCACTTGGCTGTGTTTCCCTCCTTTCTTGGCTCCCATCCTTCGAGGCTTATCTCAGCTGAACAAGGGCCCAGGTTTGGGAGAGGGGAGGTGCAGTGCCCTGGCCCTGAGACCAAAGCTCAGGGCAGGACTCTCCAGGAACCACAGGGTTTGGGCTAGAGGGAAATTCCTGAGGCAGGCCTGGAACGGATCCAATCCCTGTAGTCCCCGCACTACAAGAGGAGAGCAAGTTCCAGCCCAGCCTGGACAACTTAGTGACTTGGCATGACTCTGTCTTAAAATAATAACAAAGGATAAAGGGATTGGGATGTAGTTCTGTGCAGAGGT